GTTGACGTTCTGATCTCATTTTTGCAGCTGCTTCTAATCGATGCGGTGCACCGAATAGGGTTTCATCGACTTCTGATTGAGCATTGACTGTCCGATAACGATAATTAGTTCCGGCGCGTCGTGCAGTTAAAGGTCCATTGGGAGCATTGGCACCAACTGTTGTTGATGTTGGAGACATGTTGTATTTTTCTACAAAACAAAAAAACAACGATTTCTCTTCTCTTGAATTTGTTTAGTTATCCATTCGCCATTTACAGTGTTCATCAACCTTGCGACGACCTCTATTTTCTCTTCATATGAATAATCATCGTCGAATAAAAACGAATCTCTGTTCGAATTGTGATTTTTTTCAAAATCTATTTCCGAAAATATCTTTGGAAAACTTTTGGAAGTGAATTAAGTAAAAATTCTTTCTTATTGTATGGAAAATTTTCATTTGTTCTTTTGTCTTTCCTCGAGGAGATAATCGATCATCATTTTCTTCATCTTCATTGACTCTCTCAACAATGCCTATCGGTGCATTTCAACGTCTCTTCGATTTCGGTTCAAAAAAAGATGATACAAAAAATGTTTCATCATCCGATGCAATTCAACGTCTATCTGACGTTGAAGAAATGCTCAATAAAAAGCAACAACATCTCGAATCTCAAATCGAAGAGGAAAAGAAAACGGCTATTCGTTGTTCAAAACAAGGAAATAAACGTGGAGCTTTAATGGCGCTAAAACGAAAGAAAAAGTTTGAAAAAACATTACTTCAATTGGATGGAACGTTAACAACGTTGGAAACACAACGAGAATATTTACAAAATGCCTCGACAAATATGGATGTTCTACGTGTGATGAAACAAGCGGCAAATGCTTTGAAGAAAACCAATCAAAATCTTGATGTGGATCAAGTTCATGATCTCATGGATGATTTAGCTGAACAACATACTGTTGGTGAGTAGAATTCAACTGAATCTTTTTTTCAAAATAAACTCTTTTTTTCTTGTAGCGGAAGAAATTGCCAATGCAATTTCATCACCAATGGGAACGTCGGATTTGTATAATGATGCAGATTTAGAACGAGAATTAGAATTATTAGCGCAAGAAGAAATTAAAGACGATATGATGAAAATTGGACCATTGCCTGACGTTCCACAACAAGCAGCAACAATTAAAACAAATAATCAATCGGATGAATTACGTGATCTCGAAGCTTGGGCACAATAAATCAAAAGAAGACTCTTTTTCTTAAGAAATTAGTCAAAGAAACGTGCAGATGTATTGAACAATAAACTCTTCTTGTATTTTCATGTAACCAAACAGATATTTCGCTTATCGAGTGATGAAATCTTTCATTTGCAAAAGGCAACTTTCTTCTATCAGTGTGTTTAGATATAATAGAATCTAATTCAACAAATATTTTATTATTATG